GTTCCTTTGCTGTTTTGTAAAATGTTGTCTGTCTGTTAATATTTTCCTCCTTTTATTAAAAAAAAAAAGAAACAGCAAGTTTTATAGATGGATTTAATTTTAACATCTAAATTTGCTAGAGGCTTACCTTAGATTTTCAAGTGTAAATACACCTTCATATACTTTTTCTTTCTCTAGTGTTCATTCAAATTCTTTGCCTCTGACATCTCTTCTTCCTTGGTTCCTGAAGGTGCTCTGCTGCTATGATTCCTTATCCTCCTCTCTATTTCAGCTTCTTAAATAAACACAGAGATAGAGGTGGTAGAGGAATAAGTCAATAAGTTTAATGTAGATTTCATGTAGGGCTTTTCAATGTCCATCTTTCTCCTTGATTTAAAAAATGCTGCATGGATTTTAATTCTTTAAGGAGAGATCTAGGTACAAGGTGTGAGCAAAAAGTATGGTGAATCTTTGCATTTAACTACAGTAAAAGACACATGGCAATCAACACCTCTCAAGACTCCCTTTTCTTCAAACACACGTTACTTGTCATTCTTGCCACTGTCTGAAGCAGTTCCAGAAGTCAAGCTGCTATATCATCAATTGCACCATCATAGATGCCTTGATGTCTTGAATCAGTTGAAAACATTTAACTTTCATGCCCATTTTGACTTTAAGGAACAGTCAAAAGTTGCATGATGCCATATCCAGTGAATAAAATGGAAAGGACACATGCGATACTTTTATAAACCTTCCTTTCTTTTGGATGGGTAGTGACAGCAGCATTCATCACAGATTTTATCATACTTTGTAAAGACACTCTTGAAAGAAGACTTCCAGAACTGCTTCAGAAAGTGGCAAGAAGGCTGGGCATGGTGACGCACACCTGTCATCCCAGTACTCAGGATGCTGAGGCAGGAGGATCACTGCAAGTTCCAGGCAAGCCTGGGCTACGAAGTGAGTTCAAGGCCAACCTGAACTGCATCATGGAGCTCTGTCTCAAAAAGACAATAAAAACAGAGAAGAAAAGAAAGAAAAGAAAAGAAAAACAAGAAAAGAAAAAGAGAAAGGAAAAGAGAAAAAAGAAAAGAAAAGAAAAAAAAGAGTGGCAAGAACAAGGGTGCAAATGTGCTGAAAGCAAGGGGGAGTCTTTTGTGGGTATTTAATGCTAATGTGTCTTTCATTGTAATAATTTTTTTTTAAACTTGGAAATTTATTATATCTTTTATCACCTCTTGTATGTGATTCCAATACAACCTCCTCAATTTTGGAGAATATTCTGAAAAATAATATAAAACTATGAATATAAATTTAAATTCAAAATGAAATATTTAGCCTGGTTCTCACTTCCAGTTTACTTGAACAATAAGAATTTTTTTCTGGACCAGGGTAAATACCATACTACAATGATGAATAAAACAAACAGAATTTCCCAGTGGCTGGTGAAGAACAATGAATCCAAGGCAGCCTTTGAGTTCTAGAAGAAAACAAGTACGTAGCCGGTGAGAAGCCTCCTGAGCCACTTGTCTGCTGTGGGTGGAGACTGGTCTGGACTTGGGGTGGAGGAGCTGCAGGCCTGCTGAAGCTGGGAGACCCTGAAGGATCCAGAAGAATCAAGATAGACTTAGACAGCAAAGAGATGGCAGGGGATGTTTGAATCTGTAAGCGTCCAAAGAAAATAATTTCCTCAGTCAAGTAAGGTTCTCTATGTGGATATTATCAAGAAATTAGTCATGCAAGAGTAGGTAATCCACAGGAAAAAAGAAAAAAAAACATATATCCTTGTGTTGCTAAGATTTCAAAACCAAGAAAATATTGAATAAAAGAGTAAACTCAAAATATCTTAAAGTTCAGCCTAAGTTATCTCAAATGTAGATACAGGAAGATCAGAGTAGAGCAAATAATGGACTTGATACTGTGATGAAGCACAAGTTCAACTAGGTGGTGAGAATAATGAACACCCGCACCTTCACCTTCACTATCACACAGGGTAGGGTTTGTGCTCTCTGGCAAGGTAGAAAATCAAATGAAAGATTTTGCACTATTATTTCACAGAAATTTTCTAGAATGTAAGAAAATATTAGAAGAATTGGAAAAACCAGGAAAAAAAGTCCCATTAGCAAGAAAAAAAGAAGTCAATGCATATGAAATGAGAAATAACCACATATTAAGCTTAGCAGATCCAGAATTAAGCATAACTATAAATATATGTTAAGTAATTTATGGGAAAAGATGGGTAAGATGAACGAAGAGGTGAAGTACTTTGAGAAAAAATTACAGGTCCTAAAATCTAAAAAGAATGTAAAGTTCTGAAATTTTAAATTACACTTAAAAATAAAAATTTATTGAATGGATCCTATGGCAAATTATAGAAGAAAAATTCAGTGAACTTAAAGATGGATCGATGGAATATTCACCTGAAGGGCACAGTGAGAACAGGTAGAAAAACTAAAGACTGCCTATAATTTTGGAGAATTACTAGCCTAGTCTGTTGGTGTTTGGAAGCTTGTGAGGGGAAGAAAGAATGAAAGAGTTGCAAAACATGTTAAATAATGAGCAATTTAAAATTTTTGATGAAATATTATTATGACTTAGATCTAAAATGCTCCCCCAAATCCTGGTGTATTCAGAGCTGCACCCCCGCAAAGTGATTGGGTCGTGGGGTGCTGTACTTCTCAGGGGACTGAACCATTGAGAGATGTGCTGTGAGGAGATGCGTCCTGGTTGGAGGGGGATCGCTAGAGGTGTGATCTGGGAAGGTGTATTTCTGTCCTTTGCTTCTTCCTGCTCTCTTGTTAACTATCATGGGGTTAGCAGCTCTCTTCCACCATGCCTTTCTACCATGCTATTTCTGCCCTTGAGCCAGCTGATGTTGGGCTGAACCCACAGGAGACTGAGCAAAATAAACCTCTCCTACTTTAAACTGCAAGTGTTAGGCATTTTGTCCCAGAAACATGAAACTAACATAAATATCAACACATGGATCTAAAAGCATAAAGAGTCTGCAAAAGAATAATGATAACAATAAGAACAATCTGTATCATCACAGTCAAGTTGCTGAAGACTAAAGACAACTAGAAAGATGTTAAAAGCAGCCAGATGGTTATAAAAGAAATACTATGTACAAAGGAACAACTGGAATAATTATTTTTAGTGATTTAATACAATATTCTTTTCAGTTTTTACTTTTTATCAGTACATGTCTGTAATACATGATGTCTACATTCCTGGGGGAGTTGGTACATGTACATAACACATCTCAATTCTTTTTTTGATCATTTTCAAGTGGGAAGGTGTTATGGTTTATGTCTGTGTGTCCCCCCAATGCCTCATCCGGGCATGGGGCAGGCTATTAGAGTTGAATGATTGTGGGTGTGAGAGCTACACCTGCCCTGGGGTGGATAGTTTGCATATGTAAGGGAGAGGAGGAAGCTCCTTGGGGAGATTCCTCCCCCATTCTGCCCTGGTGTGTGCGCAGCTCAGCTGTGTGCTCTCATCCTGAGCTGCAGCTCTCTGCTATGTGTCACTCTGCCTTATAATTTGCCAAGTACTCACTGAAACTTCCACAAACTGTAAGAGAAATAAACCTTTCCTTCCTTAAATTTGGGCATCAGGTATTTTGTCCCAGCACCGAGGAAAAAGTAACCAAGACAGAAGGGGATCAAGAGATGGAGGGAGTGTGGAGGGGTGAGTAGGAAAGAGAGCTGCCATAGCAATGATGTAGCTGACCACTCATCAGAATTGCTGCAAGCCCGGAGACGGAGAAAGGTCTGACCAAATACTGTGGAAGACATGAAGTAAATAGGTACAGGTATGATCTAGAACATGCATGCATTTCTGGGAGAGCTGCAAAGTGCGAAACCAACTATGGAAAATATGTGAGTTTTTTTTTATACTTCAGCTTTGGTCCATCTACAATGTAGAAATTTTATTTCTAGAAATCTACCTAGCAAAATGAAAATATCTGTTCACCAAAAACTTGTGTCAGGACACTTATTCCAAAAGCGGATGCCATCGCCAATAGGGCAATGAATGAATTTTGGTGTCATTGTGCAATGGGATAAACGGCAACAACAGAAAGGAAGGAACTTCGGTGCACAAACAGTATGGTCGACTCTCACCAACACTACAGAATGAAAGAAGCCAGAACCAAACGAGCACATTGCACATGAATCTGTTCATATGAAGCCTTACTGTAGGCAAAATTGATTTCTAGTTAAACAAATTAGAACAGTGTCTACTCTTTGTAAGGAGATTCCCTAGGAAGGGACAGAGAAGAGTGTTGGAAACGTGCCATATCATTTTTGTTTTGTTTTGATTTTTTGAGACAGCTTCTCTCTGTATTGCCCAAGCTGGCCTCAAACTCACTGTCCACCTGTCTCAGCCTTCCAAGTGCAGGGGTTACAGGCATAAGCTGCCATGCCTGACTTGTTTTGTATATTGATCAGGGTCTGGCATACTTATATATACACCTGACAATGCTCATTAAACTGTACCCTTTAATTCTTGTAGAGGTTATTCTTTATTAAATCAAGACCCTAAAGATAAAAGAATACTTTCAGGATTTTTATGATAACACCCTCAAAAATTTAGACAAGATGAATAAATTTTTAATGGAATAAAATTTCCAAAGCCACTATAAGAAATAAAGAATCTGAAAATGTAACTATAAAATACCTAGAAACTATGCATTAAAGGGCTTATAAATTTTTCTTTCTCTTCTTCATACTTCTGCCTGTTCACAAGTTACTTATCCTGTGACACTATCTCTTTAGTCTCCTTGGGCCCAAAGTTAATGACGGCTGTTTTCATAAGTAAAATGCAGAGTCACAAGGAGAAGAGAAGAAAGCTGAGTGATGATGCAGGGTCAACCGGGCATGGTGGTGCATGCCTGTAATCCTAGCACTTGGGAGGCTGAGGCAGGATGATGGTTGTGAGTTGATGATGGTTGAGACCAGCCTGGGCTACACAGTGAGCTCAAGGCCAACCTGAACTGCATAGCGAGACCCTGTCTCAAAAAGAGAAAAAAAAAAAAAAAAAGATGGAGGGTCATGTTGGAGTTATGTTGCCATAGGGTCAGAATATGCTCAGAAAAGAGCTACCAGGAGTCCTTCTCTAGAGACTCTGGAGGCGGAGTAGCCACTCAACATCTTAAGTTCAAAGTTTTGACTTCCAGAATCTAGAGAGAATTTGTGGACATTTATTGTTACAGTTCTAAGAAATACAAAACTTTTCAAGGAGGAATGGAATGGTTATTAAAAGAACCTATAGAGTTTTCATCAGTGTGAATGAGTA